ATATATATATATATATGCACGCATCTAGAATCTAGAGGCACGTTTGTGCATCTATGGTCATGCGTATGTATGTGTAGCATACCTGCATACATACCGATAGGGCGATAGTTCCCTCGGGGTTTAGAGTTGATTGGGTTTCTGAGACCCTGCCACCCTAGCCTCTCCATCCCCAAAGCGTCCATGAAGCCCTGCCTACAGGTGTACATCCATCTCCCCGCGGCGGCATTACCGCCCAATTTGCCGCGAGCTCTGATGCAAAGCCGCCTGCATGCGTCATGTTTTCTGCAAAGCTTCACCTCAGAAGTTTGAAGCCTGTATGTCTTTGCTGGTTGAGCATTGGGTCTTGCACCTCCGTTACACCCGACCCATGCAAAGCCGAAGCCCCAAGAGCAATCCTACCCGGAAAGCCCAAGCACCCCAAGAATAGGAACTAAACCTTATAGACCCTAAACCTTCAACCCACGTTTTTGAGTCATCCCGCTCTTGCATGCAAGCAGCCCCAAACACGGAAACTTTCCTCCGTGCCACCGAACTCTCGTGATTTGGAAGCAACAGCCATAGAAGACCGTTGAAGCTGCCCAAGGCATGGAACATCACGAAGACTTTCTGTGCCAGAAACGGCCGGAACGGGAGATTGGGGACAGGGTTGGGGCTAGGGCTAAGGGACTACAGTTTGGGGTAGACGACTTGTCATGCCCCTTGAGCTTGGGGCTTAAGGTTTACAGTTTAGGGTTTAGGACCTATCGGACCGGCTGGGGCTCTCTTCATTCGGCTGCCGGGGTAAAGCAGTCAGATAGCCCTCGTGGTAATGCAGTAAGAAGCACTATTGCTAGACTCTTAGATGCCCAAAAGCCTTCAGCCCCTAACCCCAAACAGCCAGAACACTTTGCATCGGGTGGCATTGCTCGGATGAATAACTTTGTTTTTCTCTCTCTATCTCTCTACATGCTCTCGCTCTCTCTCTCTCTCTCTCTCTCTTTTCTCTCTCTCCTCTATACATATATAGACACTAACCATGTACCTTAAGAGTTTGTACTGTGCAACACCGTTTGAGTCCTTTGAGGCGGCCCCTTGCGTGCTAAACTCCGATTTCTCCGATCCATCGTCGAAAATTGAGTCCTCAGAGCCTTGAGCGCCAAACCCTCAAGCTTGAGCTCCTACAGCCCAAACCCTAAAAACTTTAATTTAAGCCACAATCCCAAAACCCAGAAATCCTAAAACCCCGAACCCTTCAACTCAAGCCCCTAAGCCCTGAAACCGTCAAGCCCTAAGCCCCTGACCATCGGAGCTCCTGCAGGCCTCGGACTCATCATCCGCAGCCACCAATCAAAAAAGGGAAGCCGCTCCTAGGCTCAAGACAGGACTCACTTTATAGGGGCAGTATACTCACCACCTATACTATTTTTGGGATTATATAGTTATAGCCGAGTCTACCCCAGAAAGCCTCATTCGAGTTATGAAGGCCCTTACAGTAGGGGTTGCATGGGGTTTAGGAATGTAGGCCATAGGCTTTGGGGTTCAAGGGTACCAGGGCAAGCGTGCAGAGGAGATCGTTTGGTGTGTAGGCTTGAGCGTAGAGGCCTATACAGCGGGGCTTGGAGTTTAGGGTGCAGGCATGACTTCAGGTGTAGGGTTAAGGGATGCTTAGGGTACAACGTTCAGGGAAGTTCAGGGTGTTGGGTATAGGGTTCGGGTTCAGGGTTCAGGTTATAGGTTATTGGAACTTCGATCCCAAAGTAAGACATCGTAAGCCGGGCATGAGAGGACTCTGTTTGGGTTGGCAGCGTGCTTTTCGACAGGGTCTGGTTCTACTAAAGGTCCTTCCGATGACAACAAGTTCTCATTGTGATACAACCACCCCCCCCCCCCACACCGGTAAGTTAAGTGGAAGGAGGGATGATGAGATCTAAGCGGGGTGTGAGGGTCAAGGCTTGGGCTTTGAGAGATTGGAGTTGTAAGGCTACAGGTGCTGCAGCCACGGCAGACTGGTGCAGCAATACGCGAACTCCTGGAGTGGATTTGCCAGGAGTTGCATCAGATGCGTGCACAAAAGAACCCGTATACTCGGAGGCCCAATACACCAAAATATACGAAGATCTAGAAACACCGAGGGCCGAGGCCAGGGGGTGGTCCTTTTAGCAGTTCTATGACTTGTGTCCACCTGGCAAGAGGTTCCGGCTTTGCCCTGAGTTTCAAGAGGTGGCTGGATATTCAAAAAGAGGGGTCAACTTGAGATTTTGTGTAGGAATATTGCAACTGGAATGGTAGCGATCACAATGCTTGGCCCGGGAGACATTGTATCAGACAAACTCGGAAGGTTTACTGCCTAAGCTCTAGACCCTGAGGCCTTCTTGCACTGAAAGCCCCACTCCCGGTTCCATCTCGAAATAAACGCTTAATATTAAGCTTTTCGGCAGAAGGACACTGCAATCATACGGAGGTGTGAATAATTCAGCATGGTATCCTTTTCCTCCTACAGCTTAGATAAACCCATTCTGATTGCCAAAGCCCTTGAGTACATGATGGCTTCAAAACGAAACCTCAGGGTGATTCACTCTGCTTAGCAAGAGTCATGGCAGGGTAAGGCAGATCAGGGGGCTCCTAGATCAGACATCGCATTGAGGTATGGCATAACTTGACCGCTGAGTTGTTTATGCACGCACCCTAAACTCTGAACCCTAAGCAATACTTCAAACATGCGGATGGGTGTAGTTCTGTGGAGGCACCTGAGCCCTGCAGACGCAAAATAAGCCCTTTAGCCACAGCCCTTCCCAAGGTGGTTTCGATGTGATGCATAGCAGCATGCTGGAAGCTCAGCCCCTTTCCTCGGCGCCGTGTTTCTCAGAATCTCCCAGCTCCAGACCATTATTTAGAACTTCAACCCTGTGCGAAATCTTAAACCCCCAAACCGACTTACTCAGCTTCAGAGACTTTGCAGTTCGGGGCTTGAGTTAAGGGGTGCTAGATATCGTTCCGAAAGAATCATCGTGCATGGCTGTGGTAGGACTATTATAAACCCTAAATCCCAAGCCAAACCTCAAGCCCTCCACCCCAAACTCTGAAGTCCAAACCCCATCGCCCCAAACTGCAGAGCCCTACACCATAGCTCCAACGGGGCACAAATCGATGTCGTGTCCAAGTCCAAAGAGTGCAGGGTGGGGACTCTGCTACGTAGCGTTGCATCGTTGCATATTAGATTCTCGCGCTTTTGGACACTGTCAGACAAAACGCAAGGCTATGGTTTGGGGAAGGTAGACTGGTTGAGTGCAGGGGTTGAGGGTTTGGGCTGTTAGGTTTTCATGGGCTCAGGGTTAAGAATTTGGGCTGTTCCGGGTTTCGAAAGACAACATCTACACGTGGGGCCTTAGGGGCTGTAAGATTGGTCCAGGCTTTAATCACCTCAGAGCCATTGCAGGTTGATGCGCGTCTTCTCGGCAAGAGACTATGAGGCGGGCCCGAGATGCCCCAGACATCGAAGATTTAACGGTAACTCGCTCTTAGACTCCACGTACTACGCAGCTCTCTCCTCAATATCCAATATCCTCAAAACCTAAATTGTTCGCAAGGTTCCAGGTCAATCTGCTTGCCGTTCTCTTTCTGTTGGATGCTTGCAAAAAATTGCAGGAGCTGTGCATGAGGCTTCTGTAAATTCCCAATAGTCATCGACCTTGCAACAGCCTCAGGCAGGGCTTTCTGAGGGTTTAAGGTTTGGGGCTTCGGGCTGGATCATGCCTCATCCGTGCAGCCTGTACTGGAAAGCCACACTGCATACTTATCATCCCTGGTTTCGAGTTTTGTGTTTTCTACGCCCTATAAACATGTCAGTACAGCTGCGGGAGTCAAGTCTCCCAGGCCGTAAGTTAACCCAAATCATACAGTAGGGCCAAGATCCTGGACCCCGCACGCCCTTCTCCAATGTCCGAATCCTAAGTCTGGAACAGGGACATGGCAACGACGGAGCCGTGCTACTCATCACAAAGGGCAAGGCATCCGAGACCAAGGGCAAGGCATCCGATGAGAAGTCCGGCAATGCCGAAGGCCCTCGGCTTCTTTTTCAAGGGTTTTTCTGCTGTAGGACTAGACCATTTAGCGCATCACCGAGTTTCTATACTGTAGGGATTCCTGAAGTCTCCAACATATAACCCCTGACGCCCAAAGCCCCCGACTTCCTTGGAGCTTGGACTCGCATGTATACAGCACATAAAAGGAGTCAGGTGGGCACCGTATCTTACAGCAGGCAGGCGAGCCAGTGGGGCAGGGCAGGCAGGCATACAGGTCGGTGGGTGGGTGGGTGGGTAGGTTGCTAGGTAGCTAGGTAGATACAGGTAGGTAGGTAGGTAGGTAGGTAGGTAGGTAGGTAGGGGGTAGGGTAGGGTAGGGTAGGGTAGGGGAAGTAGGTAGGGCTGTAAAAGCTTAATTCTTCTGAATTAGGGGGGAGGGCTTCGAGGCTCCAAATACCCGTAAGGCACAGTAACAGCAAGAGCAAGAGCAGCAGCAAGAGCAAAGCAAAAGCAAGAGCGGGAGTAAGAGCAAGAGCAGGAGCAAAAGCGGGAGCAAAAGCAAGGAGCAACAGCGCAGGGAGCAGGGGCAAGAGGCGCAGCAGAAGCAGGAGCAAGAGCACGGCCCTCTCAAAAGTGGCAGTAGAGATATATGTACCACTCTAATAGCAAAAAGCACTTTTCGAGTATCTATTGGGGGGGCCCCCGTTTAATATTAGGGGGCAGGGATTACATACAAGATGCATAGGACATACTTTTTTTCAAAAAGCATGCATATATATATATATATATATATTATAGACACATATATATATATATATATATATGTGTATATATATATATACATACATACATACATATCTGAGCATGATTTAGCTGTGTTGCTGGATGGGTTTGTTCTCATACATATCCTAGGAACAATCGTCCTTGAACTAGGACCGCAAGATAGGCCCTTAGTTAGAACTAGTCCGCTATCCGCACCCTAAAGGCATTGCTGCCACACTGCAAGACAAGGCACCGCTGATGATCTATAGCCCGCAGACAAAGCCCGAATCCTTTTCCTGTAACCCAAAACCCAACATGTTAATCTTACCCCAGACCCCAATCCTTAAACCTTAAACCAGAGCTTCTCGTCTAGAGCCTATATGTGTTCCGACCAGGGAGTCTTCTGGTCGTGCCTACACTGTTGTGTTGTCTGCACCAGATACGCTGAAGCCAAAGTTTCTGGAATTCTTAGATCACATACCTTAATCAGCCTAAACCCTTAACCCTAAACCCGAATCTCTGCAAGAGTCCATACTTGGCGCCATGGTCTGTCGACAATCCGCCCAACAAAAGGATGTTTACGGTTTAGGGCGTTGGAGTGCAGGGTTTATAGGGTTGCAGCACTAAGTGCAGTGAACAAAGAACACCTTTTTACACCCGAAACAATGAGAAATAAACCCATGCTCCCGCAAAGGCAATGCCGAGGAGCTGCTGATTGTGAGGCCCCAGGTGCTCAGGTCCGTCAAGAAGCAGCGGGTAGAGGCCACCAGTGGGTCATCTTAGGGCTTAGGGCTCGAGGTCCGCTTCAATTCAAACCGAAGCCCTACCAGGTTTGGACTCTTTCAGTGGTTAACAGGGGTTTTGTGGAAAGTCGGATCGGGCCCTGGGTTCCGATACTTTTTTGTTAGAACACTCATATGAGTCGATGTATGAAATGCGGGTTGACTGTAACCCCAAAGACAGACCTACCGCTCCGAGGGCTACGTCGGGGTTTCATCACAAAGGGCGCTAGACATGCTGGTCTGTTGGGGCACAGCTGAGGTTTGGCGTTCAAGTTTAGGGGTCCATGTGATTGGGTGTCTTGGCCCCTACGTCCAAGTAAGGTTTGACCGAAAGTCTTGTTTAGGTGTTCAGCCCACCCTATAAATTGAAAGCTCTAAGTGCCCTCAAAAACGGCATGGAGGATTCAGGAAGAGTAGTCAGAGTTGGCAGTGAGGATGCATGTTCGGGCTTGAGCTGCAGCCAAGCTGTTGGCGCATTTTGTAATGCAGGCAGTTGCAATGCAAGTAACTACGAGAATTGCCAGCGCAGAAGCAAGCAACCACTGTAGTACTATTCTGGTGACAAAGTTCAACATCATGAATGCTCAGCTAAGGGGGTTCCAACAGCAGTAAGACTGTCAACTGCTGCGCGCATGCAACTGTCAGCCAGAGATTGAGCAGACTCCAACCCCCGCAGCCGCACACATACGGGTTGCTTACAGTCTGTGGCATGCTGAGGGTTCCGGGCACCCTTATGCCCTTCAGAAGAGTTCAGACTCACGGTTCAGGTTTCAGTATCTTAAGGCGTCCCTGCTTGAAGTAGAGGGGTGGAGCTCATGATATTTCCCGACGGCTAAAGGCTAAAGCGCCTGACTTGCTTGGTTCTAGAAACACCATCTGTAATGGACTTGCAGGCTCGAAAACCCTAAGCTCTGACACCCCCCCCCCCCCCCCCCCCTGGCCTGGCATCTTGATGGCTCAGACCCTAAACAGAAATAGAGGGGCCCTGATCATCAGAACTGGGGTTTGGGGGGCTAGACCAGTACTGTACTCGGGACAATAAGGAGACCCGAATACAAATTGCTTGGGCCCGCTTATAACCCTCATTGATCTGGAACCTCGCATATCTTGGAATCCTCTTGCATCATGAATTCTGAAGCGAAACTCTCTGATCTCTTGCGGAAGCACGCAGTCTTCAGTGCAGTTTTTTAGCGCAGGAATGCAAGATTATAATGCTTATGCAAGTGATCTTCCGGCTCTTACTGGTCTTTTGACTATTGCTACTCCTACTTCCACGACCAGTTCCATTACGACGACGACTACCACCATCGAACACCATGGCTGCCAAGTGAGCGCTGTGCTGCCCCACAGAACTCACGCTGTTTTTTTGTTTTTGTTCGCATGCCTTGTTTTCTGTCTTTCACATAGAACTTTCAGGCAAGGGCTTTGGGCTCCCTGGGTAGACCCAGATCCCCTGGATTTCACAAGCTTTATACCATACACCTGGACCCTAAACCCGAAAGCCTCTTGCTACTCCGTCTCGTGCCGCTCAAAGGAACCTAAACCCTTCTGCTTCACCTTCAGGCGAAAAAGCATGCCAACGAGGGCGACTCAAGCGAGGAGTCGCTAAGGCCAGCTCTGGTTTATAGGGTTGACCAGTTTGGAGTTTAGGGGTTTCCGGTTCAATACGCTTCGCCGTTTAAGGAGTACGGGCTTCAGGGGTTTAGGGCCCAACGAGAGCTTAGGAATTTGAGATTTACGGCGTAGGGGTTTAGGGGGTCAGGGCTAAGGGCTTAAGGATTTGAAGGTGGAGGGGCTTAGGGGTTTGAGCCCGGCGCCGCTTCAGGTTTGAGGTAGAATCGTTTTGGCGGCACCGGAACTCACGAGTCTTGGAACCTCGCAGTGCAAACTGACCTCGAGATCATGATCGAAAAAGTACTGACAGACAGATCGCAAGAGAGCACATCCCGAAGTCGCAGCCATGAGAAAAAGTCTGGCTGGAAATGGTTGACACTCGGTTCACGTAGAAACCATGGACAATGGGTAGATAGCACTTACTCTTATTTCGACGACGATAGAGGGTGGCATTTGAGTAAGAGCCATTTTATTGTTGTGTGCTGTTCTCATCCAGGCCCCATGCTTATCCGAAATGCTGGCCCCGGCTCTCCCCGCCGGTCCCTGAAAAAGCAACACCGCGATCTGAAGCTCTGAACCTTCCTGTGCGAAGGCCCATGGGTAAGACTGCAAGCAATTCAAGCAAGGGCGACCAAGGCGCGAGGGGTCTGTCGGCGGTGGGGAACATCGTCAATTTTTTACTAGTATCATGGTTTCTGAGACTACACGGGACTAGCTATTACTCATTGTGTCGCTCCCTGAAGTAAGGCTTTGGGTTTAGGGTTCAGGGCAACTGGTCTACGACCCCAACAGAATGACGAGGATCTCCCATGTTCCGAAGTGTAATTGAAGCTCAGGGGAAATGGAGATACAAGTACAAGTCTGTAGGCCCCCAAAGTCTGCAAATCCAAGGTCCAAAACCTGCAAGACCCTGAAGCATAAACCCTAGAGGGTTTAGGGCGGAGTTGAACATCGCCAATTCTCACGACGCAACTTTGGGTCTTAAGCAGCGTGGAGCGTCATCGTTAACAGGATTTGACAACTCAGGCGTGCTCAGCACAGCGGACCCTAGAACCGGGGTTAAGCTTTTCCAGACCTCGTAGACATGCGAGTGAGAGCTGCGACAGCGTGCAAGGCCTCGCAGGCACCTCCATTTGGACCTAGGCATGCCCTAGAAGGTGCTATAGCAGCGTGTATAGCTAGTTGTTGCGTGGACAACAACAACAACCACGACAACAACCTCAACCACAGTCACAACAACGTCGACAACGACCACCACCACCACCGCCGAGCAGCAGCAGCAACAACAACAACAGCAGCACGTAACGAGTCTTCTGCGAGCTCCCGGACCCAAATCCTTCATCGAGGCTCGACCCTAAACCCCAAACCACATAAGGCTGATCCCCTTGAGCAGAAGCGCAACCTGGACCCCCAAGTTCGACCTAGATCCCAGGCCCTAAACCCCAACATTGACTTGTCGCATATGTCAAAGCTATATGGAACTGGAATTCAAAGCTCCAGGCGCAGAGCCTCGCGGATACATTGCGTAATCCTAATGAGGCTTTAACGCAAAGGAGCCTTAACACACAATGATGGTATCCTTCGGCTATAAAGTGTATTCCCCCAAAACTCTCAGAGCTCTACAACCTGTCTTTGGCCTTCAACCCCGCCAGGACATTCCTCGAGAAGCTCAAGCACACCAAAGGGAGGTGCCAGGGTAAAGTCCAAACACGACAGGAGCCTCCTCAATGCTGTTTGCAGTGTCTGGTGTTTTGCTTTGGGCGTTGAGGGGGCGTGGGCCGCTAAAGTCTCTATCGAGGGTACAACGGTGGTCCTGGACGGGGTTTATATGGTTTAGTGACTGAAGTGTTTTAGAGTTTATGCGGCTCAGCACTTAGGAGTGCGTTTAGATCTCCTTTGTGTTCTTATGCACAGGCTTGTATACATGTTCGTATGTTTTTCTACGTTCGAGTATTTGTGTACATGTAAGCTTTGTAGCGTTGTAAGCTTCTGTTCGATAACTGTTCAGATTCTTAGATCCCGAAAGTTGAGGCACGGTTGAAGGTGATTTCTGCTTTCGGGCGTGTCGCAAAAGAGAGAGGGAGTTTAGCGTTCCAATCAGAAGATCCACGTTTCTACACTGCACACCATTCAGCCCTAAACCCCAAACACCTAATCCCAGAGGGCCGTGTATGTATGTTTTTTATTATAGTGATTGAGATAGCATATGCTTTGGCATCAAAGCGGTTCATACACAGGTGCTTGAGGATCAAAGTATATACTTTTTTGGTACATGTACCCTTAGGGAGAGCCTGCAATACGAAGCCCCTAGTCGAAAGCATCGTCTTACTACCGACCTGTTGAAGTCCTTGTCGAAGATATGGTCTAGCAAACAGCCCCAGGGACTAAATCCGTGGACCGGAGACCAGACAACCTCGAGCTGAGCTCAAAGCCATAAGGCCACTGAGCCCCAAGCTTTAAATCCCCAAAAGTGCAACCCGGATTTCGTTTTTCTCGACTGTTTATGCAAACCTTCTTGTACCCAGAAGCCAGTAACCTGGTAACCCACCTTACAGGTTTCTGGGCGTCCAGGGCAAGCATGACCTAGGCCCTTATAGGCCAGATCGCATTGTTTGGCGCAGGTTCGGCAAAACGCCCAACCACACCCCGAAGCCGCCCACTTACATTGCCATGAGTTTCCGCGGGTTCCGAAGTTTCCCTGCAATTTTCGACGCAGGGATTGGAGTTCAGGGTGCATGAACCTATACTCGAAACCCTTGCTAGTGTGCTGTCACTGGATGAGGGTCGGGGTTTCAGATTTAAGGTTTAGGGTGTAGATGTTGTTTCAGGATTTAGTGCATTGAGGGCTTTATAGATTTGTGTATGTCATAACTGCTTCCCCGGGATTTACTGCTTGACGTGTGGTTTCGGTGTCTCTGGTCTCTGGAACACTTTCCGACGACTTGTTTTTGTTGCGTTGGGGGGGCGGGGCGTCTTGCGACATCCTCGAGCGCTTGCGCAGCAGTTTGTAGTTCTACTTGTTCGGACCTGGTTTGTGTAGGGCTGGTCTGCAGCAAACCGAAACCTGAAAACCTCGGCAGAACCTCCCAAAACCCGCCGGCCTAGAACCGACGAAAACACACCTCAAATGGTGCAAGTTTTTGCTCCTCCGCCCCTGGATTTCAGGGACTCTTATTCGGAATATCGTGGCCTCCGAGACAGCCTGCTGGATCAATTTGCAAACGTCTGTCCGAGCAATGGCTGAATCCGAAAGAACTCTTCTTCGGAATGTTCGCTCCCCCCAAAAGTTCGTCTCGATGTGATCAGGATTTGGGGTATACAGCATTTATCGAGTCACGGTTTTCCAACTCACAAAAGAAATCTACGACATGCCCTGCGCCCTGCTTCAAGGAGCTTAGGCCTAGGCCCTGCCAGCAGCATAAAGCCGAACTATCAAGGCAAAGAGCCCAACAATCGTGGCTGCCTTCCTGCTCCGCCTGGTACCTAAACTTCAAGCCCAAACCCACATCCTAAACGGCAGAGCCCCGAAGCACTGCACTCACAATGGAGCTGCGCAGATCGTGCCCAGTCCTCATAGGGCAGAGGCCAGAATGCAGGCTTGTCTGCTTGCATTCGACTTTTCATTTTTTTGGACATCGCGTAGCTCAGGATTCTTGAACAAATTTGGTCTAGTGAAGGGTACCGGCTGCAGGTTTTCGGGCTTCAGGGCACTGGGTGTCCGTGGGATGGAAGGTTTAGAGCAACTATATTATCTTAGCTCGATTCTATGGTCTCTATCAGCGTGGGGATTGCGCAGGAATACCATCACGAGCCAATTGAGGTCAGCATGTCTGTTGTTAGTTGTTGAAATGCAGATGAACACCGGAATACTGAAGCAAGTGAGCAGGCATACTATCATGATCTATCATGTGCTGCTGAATTTTATGCCGTCGCTGGCTGCCTGTATGGTTGCTTTGTCACTTAGCTTTATCGACTCCTGCCCCTATCTCTAATCAAACTCAACTCAGGCCCTTCGTGGACCGGTTAGCGTGAAACTCCTATCAGTGATGCAGTACTATATGTGTACCACAGCCCCCCAACAAATATTTTAGCGCACCACCCTCTTAGCAGAAGTGCCTCAAGCCAAGACCTTCGCCCTAAATCCAGAAACCCGTTACAAGGCATCTTATTGTGGAAACATACTTTTGCAGTTTCCAAAGCCCATCCCTGTCCTAAACCCCAAAGCCCTAAATTCTTGAACCTCGTCCAAGCTCCTGTCCCCAAAACAACCCACCTGCAGGTTCCTCGAAGGGTCGATATTGACTGCACACCTGCGTCACAGCCGATGCAGAGGGTGAGGCGATTCGGCAATGCTCCCCAGAGCCTTGAAGCAGCAACTCAGAAGCCGAACTCTAGGCAAGACTTCCTAAAGTCCCTTCTTCAACCCGCAACTCTTGACCCCATGCAAACCCTACACCCTGAACCCGATAAACCCTCAACCGCAAATCAAGCATTCTCTATAAGCATTCGCGCGAACCTTACACGCTTAGACATGAAACCCTCAACCGTACACCCAGCCAGTTCTACCCGTGAAACCTGAGAGTATACGTAGTAAGAGTACAACAGATTTGCAGCGAACAAGAGGCATGTCACACGGAAACGAAAACCCTAACCTCAAGCCCATAGAGAGACGGGGCGAAGGACCTGGAGCAAGGGCCGAAGAGTCCAACCAGAGCTCCGGAGGGTTTCTGCCCTGCTTGATCCCCCCGAGCACTGAGTTTAAGCCGTTTCACAGGTCATTTAAGCCGTTTCACAGGTCACAGTCCCGAGTGTCCCAATGCGCGGGGAGTTTGAAGGAAGTGCACCAGTTCACAACCGTGAAGGTTGATGGAGGTTCTAAGGTTTAGGCAAGGGTGAGGAGCTGGTGGTGGAGATCGATGTAGTGTTTGTGATTTCGGGTTTGGGTGTTGTGACTTGTGTGCGCTTCACAGGTTAAGGCTATGGTTTGTGAACAACCGTCAACTGATTCTCTCCTGGCGGCAGTTCATCAGTTCTGCATCATCATGTGGGACTTAGTAGAGGTACCACGATTTGCTGCATGTTCCTGACCCAATTCCTCCTTGAGGTGATCTCAGGTAGAAGTGCCAACAGCCTTCCGTTGAGCCATGAACAAAAATCATGGGGTTTCCAGTGGTAATCAATCTCGGTGAGTGTTCCAACTCGGTGGAGCGCACTGTAGGGTTCGCTTGTGCAGCGTCGATCCTCCTTGCAATGAAGTCGGAGACTCTTGGGAAGCTATTTTCAATTCTCTCCATTCAAGACATGTCGGAATACGAACCGTTTCACTGCCGGCGTCCTCCGGAATCGAAGCCCCGTGCGCGGACCCCAGACCCGAAAGGCAAGAACCTACAGCCCTAAGTTCGTGTCCGCGAGACAACTTTGCGGCCCCCTTGAAATGACCCTGAAACGAGACATACCGATAACATGCTCACTTTACTCGACATGTTTTGTGCGTTTGCTCTGAAGTCCCTGAAGTTAGAGCTCACCCAAAACCTGAAACATTTAGGAGTTCTCAAGCACAGACTCGGATTCCCAGCCGCCAAACAGCCGCCAAATCCTCAGCTCGGGGCCAGAGTGCCACCAGTCTCGCTGCCGAAAAGGGTTGAGAGTTCAAGGAAAGTTCAGAGTTTAGGCTGAGGGCGTCTTCCAACTGTATCTTGAATTCCTTGAGGCCGTTCCAAATTTTGGATCCCACAAATGTCGCAATGAGCACAAACTGTGTAGGGCTTAGTGTCGGCTACCTGAAAAGGGAACCGTGGTTTTAGCCCTGAAGTCTGCTAGACCAGACAACCACTAAACATTGTTTGTGGTACGATGGCCGGTGTGTGTGTGTGTGTGTTTTTGTGTTTGTGTTTGTGTGTGTGTGTGTGTTTTGTCTGTGCGTTTTTTGTGCATGTGTCTCTGTGTGTGTGGTTGTGTGTTCGTGTTCTGGGTGTGTATGTGTGTGTTTTGTTTTTTTTGTTGCGGGGGGGTTGTGGGTTAGGATTCCGGAGCAGTCCACCTCTCGAGGAGGAGTGGACGGACGTTATGTGCCCCAAAATCGCAAACTCAGGATCCCTCTTCAGGGTCTTTGCACCGTCAATCACAAGGGCAAGACTGGAAGCAGCAGGCTCCGGCATCTTTCGTGGCCGCAGGCGGTGCAAGATGGCGAAGATCCCAGCCTCTCGCGATAAACCTGTTACATCCAAGCCTTAGCCCTGACCTGAGCCCGAAAACAGACGGGGTTTAGGCTTCAAAACCGAGCCCTGTATTGAGAGCGACCCAATGGCGTCGCCGACCACTAGGGTTCGAGTAGGAGCAGTCAGCCACTGCTTCTGTTCTTTCAAATCGGCCCGTCGGAAGGAAGCATTCTTTATTATACACTCCCGACTCCCCACGAAGTTACCAAGTCGTTGTGCCAGTGTGCTTGGAGGGCTCTTGGGTGATGAGTTGCCTCGTGCTTGAGGGTTTAGGGCTTTGGGTTTCGGGAACCCCGAACCTCTGCAATAAGACTCGACCGTAGAAAGCCTCAATCCCAAACATTTTGATCTCATAGCCCTGGACCCGAAACCTCAAACTCCTGGAGCTCGCCACCTGCACATGGCCGCAATCAATGAGGAGTTGCAAGTGCAGCGCTTGACAAAAGTGAACGCGTCAGCTGTGAGCAGGGGTGTTGGGCTTAGGGTTGAACTGGCATTCAAAACCTCGGTTCCGATTTCTTTCTTCGAAGCCCTGAACTGAAACCTTATTTTGATTCGGTGCCGACGCAGCAAGGCCTTTGTGTGCCAGTAGTAAGCGGAAGCTCGAAACATGCAGATCCCTCAACATGTAGCCGCTGCTGCAGTGGCTGAAAGAGGCTGAAAGACTAAGTTAGAGTCCGCCAAAACTTGAACCTCACTCCCCACCTCTGCACCGCATACGAAAACAACGCAGCACAGCCCAACGCAGGTCGAGATCCTTCCCGCCGGAGAAGACCTCCACGCTCCTGTCGATAATGAAGATCGTCCTTGAGGTCGGGCGGGGACAAGGGGTAGGGCTTAGGGCACTGCTTCAGGGCTCCAGGGCTCCCCGGATGCATGATCCCCGAGACCCGAAGCCCTGATTCGCTAAACCCTGGCCCTAAACCCTACTAAGCCCTGAACCATAAACCCGAAGTCTCCAAACCCGAACCACAAGCCTTCCGTTGCCTGAACCCCCTCAAAGTCAGCATAGCCGAAACATAAGGACCTTGGGCTGAACTCTTAGAGCTGTACTCTTCCCGGAAAGTTTTGAGCTTCATGGCCTGAGCTCGAATCCGAAGAGGTGCCAGATGTTTGGCTTCGGATTTTGGGTCATCAAACTACCCGAAGCACAGAAGCTGCAGCAGAAAGAGACAGGTGAAGCCAGACGCTGTAAAGGGGCTAGCTTAGTTGTCAATCGTTTCTTAGCGCCCCTACAGGCAGCCCGTTAGCCCGATATTAACTTTTCCACCTGGCAGGGATATGCGCAACATATCCTACTGAAAGGTTGAGCGGCTGGACCAGGGAACTCAGCAAAGAGCCTGTGCTCCACCCTGCGCAGGGCCTTCAGATAAGCTTGTACTCCTGGTGGGAACAGGGACTTCAGACAAAAAAGCTGCAATGCTCAACTCAAGACCCCTCAAGTTGGTCTAATTAGATCCCAATCTCCTGCACCCCAAAACCAGACCTTAAACTCGAAACTTCCAAAAACCCTGGAGACCCTATTCCAGAATGCAATCTTTCACGCCGCCTTGGACTTCAGGCCCTAGCCTCAAGTCTTGGCGCCCGAAACCTTATAGATCCTGCGGACCTAGACCCGAACGCCCTGAGCCTCTTCTGAACCCCAAAAACCCAAAGCCCACCCCAAAATCCTAACCTAAAGATCCCAAACCCAAAGCCCAAACTTTAAAAGACCCCAGATCCTAAAGGCCAAAGCTCTCCTTGGACACCAGGATGCCGTCCGCCTGCGCTTGGACCCCGAGGATGCTTTTGGACTGTTCCAGGCACGACTTTGGGGATTTAGGGGCTTTGGGGGGGTTTGCGGTTTAGGGTTGAAGGTTCAGGAGGGGCTTTGGGTATTGGGGTGTAGGGTTGGGGAGTCAGTAGAAACGCAGGTTAGTTTTTGGGGCGAAAAGGATGATTAGAGCCAGGTATCTGGACCCCCCCCCTTAGGGTTATGAGTGGAGGTGTTTCAGGATGCCAGTAGCTTTGCAGGCTTCTCCAAGGGCAGTTTGCCGCGCATCACTGCTCAACAAGCCCTGGACCCTACCATAACCGCCATAACCCTCGATTGGCTCCTGTCTGTGCTGTAGGTTTCGGCAGGTTTCAGGGTGGGCTCCTGTGACTAGCATAACTACCTAGCAAGGGACCGGTAATTCCTTTAAACAATGAAGTAGAGCTGCATGTATGAGGATCTCATACACGATTCCATCAAAGATTCTGTGGAAAAGTGGTTCTACCTGACAAAATAAGAAGAAGCAGCCGCAGGACTCTAGAGGCTTCAGTGGCCGATGGAGATGTGAAGTTTGGTGAGGTTCGAGCTTCTAATGTGAGTAACGGG